ACCCAACTTGTTTCGCCGATTAATCTATATTTAAACCAGAAGGTACGTATTTCCGCTGAACAAAATCGAAACAATCTTATCGAGGATTCCCCACACTCGCCAGGTGTTGGTAGTCAACGATCGTACACACGTCTATTCCCGGTTCGCGAGAGCCAACAAGAAAGAAAAAACAAAAAAACGAGCCAAGTTAGCCGGTCACCGAAAAATTCATAAAACTTCTCCGCAGCCACTCGACGATGAACGCGTTCTCCCTCGTTCCCCGCGGGCTAATAGCGTTCTTAATGAGCGAACTTCCGAAGCCTCGATGGCAGAACAAGGCTGGGTTGGTATCGCGTGGAGAGGGGGTGGTGAGAGGGGAAGTAAAATTAACCTACAATTTCATGGGGATCCATTCACGCTGTTCTTCCGGACTCTCGACGTCGCCTCCCATCTCTTTCTCTCGCATCTTTTTCCACGGTGGATCGATCCCTCAGGCGTGTGGAATATCCACGTGGAAGAGAGAGAAGGAGAGACAGTGCCAGACACGGTTGAAAGAGGCGCCTCCCGAGGCTCTAACCCAGAGAGAAATTGACGCACACACGCACACACACCGTTACAGCTCAACAGGTAATATCCGCGGCGTTCGTTTTAATTTCTCCCCGAGCACTCCGATCGACGTATTCCCGTGATGTCGCTGTATCGGCGATCGTGACCACCATTTCTCTCTTCCTATTTGCCGGAAATATCCGTAACGCTGAACGTTCTCCAACCGACTAATTGCTTCCCCCGTATACGATACGGTACCGATCCAACCGAGTAATCGACACACACACACTGCTCACTATCCAGGAGGAAATTCTTCGGTGTGTACAGATTCGACGACTCGAAGAGCGGAAAACACGGACGGAGAGACACTAAACTCGGCTCGACGTCTTCCCGATGACTGGTTGGCGGGGCCACGCACCTTAGGCGGTGTCTTGGTGCTTGCGGTTCCCCGGCGAAGCTTTCGAAATTCGGTGAACAGAGCCCGGCTGCTCGGTGTTCCCGTCTCGACACTGTGTAACACGCTTGGTAAGGGTCGTGAACGCCTAGAGCATTAGGGTTGAAGGGTCGTTGTCCTCTGATATCACCCATGTGGTGATTCCAACGTGATCTCATGACCAAGATTACAGGATGGTTGTCGGTGATAACAGGTAGACTTTCAAAAGAAGCCATTCTTTTTAGAGGAAGAAGATGTAAACGAAGAGACACGAAGAGACCAGGCGAAAGAGAGAGGGATCGTCGGGGGTGACGTGACGTGACGACGACGAAGGTGGGCCAATGGGTACAGGAGGGAGGAGGTCGAGCGCCTTTCCGTGATGTCATTGACTACGCGGCGGCACCTGGTAGGGAAGGGAGGGATGGGAGGGCTGGAGGGACACACACGAAAAGGGGGTACGATCGACGGACGAGGGGCAGAGGGTGGGGCGTATTCAGGAACAAGAGAAGGGGGTGGAACACGAGCACGACTATTCTTGGCCGCCTCGGAACACCGTCCTCCCGCGGCTCTCGCACCGAATTGCGTAACATACGCGAGTGAGAGCACTCTCGAGGAGATCTTCGCGAAATGGCCACAGCTGCTTGATGGGGCCGATTGAAGAGCGAGATATCGATAGTCGGAAAATGGGACCACCGTTGATTTCTACTGGGGCAAACGATGCTGAGGCTTCCTCTTTTTATATGCGGTCCGAGGAATTTGAGACGTTGCGTCAGAGTCGGGCTTAAACGTAATTGTGTATTCGACCTGTTACCCCGGTTCTTTGGAGAACAAAATATACTCGAAATACTAGCTGTCGAGAAGGTTTAACTTATTCTTTTATCGTAATTATAGCATGCACAAAACTAAAAATATTTAGAAACTACTACTCAACTTTTATTTGTCAAACTTTGTGTACAGGAGAAGCGATTATTCACTATTTTGTAAGCTTTAAACAGTTAATGAGATTAAATAATTGTTGACCAGACCTGACTCACTAAACCCATTAAAATCCCACAATATCACAAGAAAGCCTGCATTGGATGCTAATAGAGAAAAGGAAATATAAGAGAATCGAAAGGTCTACATACTCTTGTATCAAGGCGATTTATAAATATTCCGTAAGATTGGCCCGTAAGGGCCCTTTAATCGAACCCCGGCGCATAATTATCCCGCAGCTCGACGGAGTCAGTAATAATTTCAAACTCCAGGCTTCATCGATCAATTTTCCATACTCTCTCGGAATCCCTCAGGTTGCATACTACAGTATGACTCAAGGTCAACCCACCCTCGGCCAAACTTTACACGCTCACGCCATTGCGTACATATGCAATTCAAGCGTTCGTAGAAACCACGCAATAAAAGCGCATTTCAACCCGCGCTATAGGCATTAATCTCCTCCCCTACTTGTCGACAGGGAGAAGACAAACCGGTTCGCGAAACGTCTGTAATCAACGACGCGCGTCCCGGAATTCCCTGGTTCCCCGTCGACCCTTGATATTTCGATCATCTCATTCCACCACCACCTCCCCCCCCCCGGGGAGTGCACGTTACCCTTGCATGAAAAAACCAAAAAAACGCAGAGAATTGAATTGACATTTAGCGACGAGAACGAAAGCGAGTGGAGTGAAAGAGAAAAAACGATGGGCCTGAAATTAACCGTTTCCCGCAGCGTGCCAGCGAACCGTGGCGGTCAACGTTTTGCCGCAACCACCAACCAACCCCGTTCGATGAAGGGTTGCAAGTGGTCGACTGCGTTTTATCCCCCAGCGATCAATTCCTCGGGCGTCCTCTAGCCGTGGAAAATGAGCGGGAACAATGAGAGAGGCCTCCTGAACCCCCCTCCCCCTAGTCAAAGTGGAAAACCGGTGACGTGTAATATGCCCGTGCAGATTCAGTGGAAACACGACGTGTCGTGGCAGACTCTGTCGAGGTGGCTGCAGGTGGTCGGAGCTGACTACTTTCCGCATTTTCAACTCTCTCACCAATCTGTACCCCCTAGCCCCGTAGTGCTATCTTTCGTTCCGTTCCCTTTGTGCTCGTCACACGTGCGCATCCGGGTTGGAGTTCCCGGATAACTGATTGAAGTATCTCACAAAAAGCAGGAAATTTAGATAATCTAGACGGTCGTTATCGTTTTTTTTACTTGGTATCATTTGTAACGACAATTCTTTAGTTAACTTTTGGATTGCCGGAATTTTTTTATGAAAAAGGTTGTTTTTCTTGGGCAATAATTCATGCACTGCACTGAATTTCGAATTTTGTCTATGTCCCAAATGGGACACCACCGGCAGCTTAAAGGTTAACGGATTATTGTCGTGGTGAATGAGTGTCGATGCATCGAAGGAGCCGATAAGTGGCTAGATGCAGTATTCAGAACTATTATAGAGAAATAATTAGTGATTGCCTGTTCGAATGACAATCCAGTTATCCCCAAGTGACTGAAAGCAGTCGACGCTGGAATACAGAGAGAATAAGGGGGTGATTCTCGAATTACAGTGTGTAAATTTGCATAAGCAGGATTTGTGTATGAAAGTCTACGTCCTAGAGTCAGGGGGAACCAAACCGGGAACTCAGGTGGGCCAAGAGGCCTCGAGGCTATGACTGTGATAAATTATACAGTGGTTGACTGTAGTGACTATTGATCTCACCGCGCCTAAGGTCAGACACTACGGCAAAATCGAGTCCGGAGCCAACCATCGGCCCCCGCGAATAAATTCAATTTTCCCGCTCTAAATAACGTAACGGTTCTCACGAAGTCTGTAGAGTCGCCGCATGGGCTGGGAAATCACGATCTTCAATGGAATATGTAAATTCAAGGCTATTGCGTGCCGACAAAGTTGTCCCGCGTACCGACTTGGTACGTCTCACTTAGCGAGAATTTCAAGACGTCAAACGGAAGATGATATCGGAGTAACCGAAATGAATCGATGCCACGGAATTTTATGACTAACCTGTTATCGTTTAAAAACTGTACAGGTTATAGTCTGTTCCATTTCTAAAAATTAAACGTATTCGAAAAAACGGACGCCTCTGTTCGAACACTGAGATTGGTCGCTGAATTTTCCACCGATTCATGGAAACTCTGCGAGCGAACGGAATTATTAACGCGACCAACTTTGCAGAAGAAACGGATTGTTGTTCCGAGGGTATAGCGCCTCGACGTACACAAGCGTTATATGTAAAGTGAGTCAGTAGTGGAAGCACTTAATAATACTGACATCAAGCTTCCAGAATCGACGTAAACCACTTCGATACTCTACAGGGAACTTTACAGCTACTCCGCACAAAGTCCTCACACGCAAATCCCTGCTCACCCGTGAATATTGTATTAATTCTTCGGATACGATCATCGGTATTTCGAAACGGAAGATGTAGCAAATTCACCAAAGAATTAAATAGCATCCTACGATCGATTGAACCATCGGTCAAAATTATTATTTCTCTCAAGATCGTGACTCATGGATTAACAATTACGCAGTTCCTGTTTCCGCGGATGTTTACAAGTTTCCATCCACCCGAGCGAATAATCACGCGGCATAAATATTGTACAATACCCCCTGGAGGAACGAAGAATCAAGAGAAAAGGAGGTTTCTGAGAGAACGGTTGGCAAACGCGCAAAACGCTTTGTCTATTCTCGAGAATCCGAGAAACAATGTCCCTAGAAAGCTTGAAAGGGCCTGCCAAGACGGGATTAGTCGACACACCGGATCGGAATTCAGGATGTCCGGTTTCCCAATTCTTACACGACACTTCGCCACCGCGGAAATCTTGCCAGTTCTCTCGCTTACGAATTTTTGGCTTGCTCGTCGTTAGAAATTGATTACCTACGCTGTGCTACGTGATTGTCATCCCCACGGAAATAAACGTTAGCCCTGTTGGGTGTAGGGTTCCAAGATCGATCGTAAATAGATTTTCATAGAAAGCGTGCCGAAAACGATGAATACCAATTTCTTTAAATATAATCAGATAGATTATTAAGAAATATGTGGGACGATGACTCACCGTCTTTCCTGTAGTAGAGGATCTCGAAATGCTTTTCGACGCCTGCGGCGAGAGCGTCGCGGAGGGCCGCGACCGCATGGGGCGACGTCATTGGCCCATGAAGGAACTCGCAGATCGCCGGTCTCTGCATCACTTCCGCCCTCGAGAAGCCCGTCAGCCGGCAGAAACCGTCCGAGCAGTATATTATGTGACATAGTCCCTGTTGAGCGTTGGCCACTAAAAAACTTCGATCTGCGAACAACAAAAAGACGAACGTTGATCGATAAACAATCGACAGCTTCTTTCATCTCGATGAAATAATGAAAGATCGAGGGTAGCTACAATGATGCTTAAGGGGACTAGGCAGTCAGATTTGGTAAAAATGTAACTTTTCTTTCGGGAATTAATTACAAGGAAATGAATACAAATTGTAAATAATAAAAGTTGTTGATAATATATACATGTATATGACGGCATTACAATCACCTGCTGTGTAAGCGTTTTTAACGATATTTCATAATTCACTTTTTTACAGCCGAGATCACTATAAAAACACAGCGTCTCCAGAAAAAAAATGCTTACACGTCGGACGATTGTAGCGTCGTTATATGTATACATATACATATATATATATATATATATATTAAACAAAAAAATATTTTGTTACAGTTTATAATATTAATAAACATTGCCCAAACGTACTAGTAACAATTTTGATCCATTTCCTGGTAATTAATTCCCAAAAAAGAAGTTACATTTTTACCAAATATTACTGCCTAGTCCCTTTAAACAGAGGAATTCGTTTCTTTTGACACGGTAGGTATGCATCTTTGTAATAAATCTAACAATCACTTTGGTGAATTCTAGCCTGGAATGCAAGGAAGGACTTGGTAACAGCCTGAGAGGCCTGGGGCCTACGGTGAATTTTCATCGACTAATTAGCGGCGCGTGGTTGGCATGCCTTCTAGCCGCGTACGAAATTAACTTTTCTCGTTAAAACGGCCGGCAGATATGGACAAGCGAACGCAGGAGGGTCACAAGCTATTCTGGACGAGGTTAGTATTTATAGATCGTCGATTGCTCAAAATTACGAACGGCAGGCGGGAAATCGCGTGGGTGGACATCGAGAAATACGAGGATTTTCGTGGAATGAAAACCACTCTGAAATACAATCATTAATATAGAGACGCAGAGAACAAGAAGACGATCGGTTCCGTCGAGAACAGAATTTTTCTTCTTTTTGACAATCTGCCTCAATGGAGCAGGAGGAAATATTACCCTCTGGCGAATCGAAGCTCTAGACTTTAGAATAACCAAATCTCGAAATTTCCCGTTTCCATTGCGACCTTCGCTCACTAAATCCGGCCACAGTCTTAGAGTGCACACCATAAAATATTTTGGTACCGGTCGTGAAGCTTGTCTGCCACACACAGTCCCGGTGCCTCGGGGTTAATTCCGCCTGTTTCGCACGACGCCCCAGACGCATTTGGACATTTTTCACGGTAAGCATCAAAGGAGCTACTTCTCGCGTGGAGCCTGCTTACGCGCGACTCCAAAGCGAAACAGTAAATGAACACCTTGACTGGTGTACTGAATGAGCAGTCTATTTAAGGCTATGCCGATTGTTCCCACTGAGACAGAAAGGGATCCTTCTTTCCACCTTCAAATACTAGTAAATCCTCGATGACTGTTCGAAGGCTCCTCGAACCTGACAAGGAGTGGTCCCCAGGTTTACAACCAATATAGACCTCATCCACTGTTACAGAGATTTTTCAAAAAGTTTACAAACACTTACGTTATTAACAAACGTTAATCTAAAACACTTTATTGTGGATAGAAACGTTCACGAGTTGTGTTGGTAAGTTCACCCAAATAGACACCATTCTTACCGAGGAAAAGTATAGTAAAAGAAATCCCATTGGGACAGAAAGGGGAATGATTTCGCGACAAAGGATACATTTAAATATAGCAAAGAGGTATACGGATCTGATATATAAATACACCACGAAAGCTGGCCTTGTCGTGGTCCAGACGAAGGGGTGGAAACTTAATGAAACTAAATTTAACCGGTACAGGAAAACGTTATTCACCGTACCACCGTTGACAACTGTATTTGCGACACGCGTCCCTTCGTGAATCCCTGGTCCGAGGTCATTTACAGGCCGTGCGTAACGTTATTCGAAACAACTGCAATAGAAGAGGCCGAGCGAGCAGTCGCACACCGCGATATCTCGTATGCTGGGGGGTGTGCACGGGGAAATTTTATGAGGGTCGTTAAAGAAGTAAATTTACCGGGTGTTTTCAACCCTTGAATGTTCAACGAACTGGTGGCGGTTTCCTGTGGAAGGAACACCGTTACAGTGAACGGAAATGTTTCAACTTTTTTCCTCTATACGCTTAAAATAGCGGCCGCGCGAGTCGGAAAAGATTCTACAAGGTCTGGCTCGTGCGTCGTAGAAATGGGAGAATGCACTTGTGCGATTCGAACTGGACCATTGCACACAGTTTTCCATAATTTCAATTTTATACAGGGTGTTCAGGAAGAAAAGTATCCAAGACTTTAGGGGCTTATGGTACTCACCGAGTGGAGAAAAAAATGTCAGATAACGTAGGTCCTAAAATCAATTGTAACTTTTAAACGAATCCTGCAGTTTCCACTAACCATTGATTTACTGTATTCTGTTCGTCGGTGTTCACCCCATTTCTCCCGTGTTCGAAGTAACCGTCTCTCGAGTAGAATTATCGAGTAGAATAGATTTCTCCCGAACGACGAGCAGCGTGAATTTTCAAGTGCGTCGCAAGAGTACCGACGTCGTTCCAGAATCCACGAGAAATGTCAGTCTCGAGCACACGTCTAATTGTGTCGCGTTCCCGGCCTGCCATTGGTTCCCACCCCCTTTCATCCCCCATCCATCTACGTAACGCCTAAACATTCTGCGAAGGACAATCGCGTCTAATGAAGGGAAATTGAAAATGCGGAGGAACGCGCGGCTCGTGACCATTGTCGATCAACGTAAACGGGAAGCGCGCGCAACGTGTGCCCGATGAAATCGTCCGAGAATATTACGTGATCGTCCGCAACAACGCAGGAATCGAATCGCATTGGTACGCGTGTCACGATGAAAAAAAAAAGAACGGTGAACGCATCGATGGCGAAAATGACTTGCGCGGGAGCTGATCGAGAGAAAAGAACGTATAACGTGTACCTGGACAAACGAGAGCCAGTGTAAACGATTGCGCGGCCTCCCTGGACATGATGGAGCGTCGCGGGCAATTGGATGGAAGGATTGAAAAACGCGAGGAAAAAAAAAAGAAAAACAGCACAGGCCGGTCGAATTAACGAGCGACCGCGAGAAATTTTCGTCAGGTGAAAAAAGAACGGTCGTGACCTTCTGTCACTTGTGCGCCATTTCGGCTCTAATTTTGTTTATTTCGCGCTGGAACCGTCGAGACTGCGGGCCTTTCAATGTTTTAGCCTGTACATTTTTCACCTGGCTGGAACAACTGAATATTTTCGACCCGTGACGCAAGGTATTAAAGCGCCGTTTGCACCGTAAATAAAGGAATAATGCGATTCCTACACGCCCAGATGAGTTGTAAATTTCAAGACCTCGTGTTTTCCATTTTCGCGCGGCGAAACTAACGTTTCCAATATGACAATCCCCCTCCCCTAGAATCTTATGAAGAGAGTTACAACATGCTATTTTCTGTTAAATAATCACTGCGCTCTGATAAACAGATAGACGGATAATATTGATCGCCAAAGTTTTCTACTACATGCATTCGAGTGTATACGTATACACGATTTTTCCTTTTGACAAAAGAATTCTGAATTGGTTTCTGCGCAAGACAGTTTAATTACATCGACGAACTTTCGTGAACGGATATCGAACATTACTCCCTCCTGAAAAAATAAACACACTATCGTCGACGCGTTAGGCACACCGAAACAACGGGTTCCGATTCTCCAACTCCTGAACTGATCGATAGTGATTGCTGGCTAATTCGAATACTGGACCGCTGTACACGACAGTGTTGCGTTTCGCCGGTTTAAACCATGATTAATACTCCTTCACGGTAGGTATAGGCGCTGCGCGCGTAGACGGAATCAGCTACAAAAGCTTCGTTTCCCATCGGTCCGGCGGAGATTAATTGCCCTGTAATTTTTGGCCCCCCCCCCCTCGCGCCGGAGTCAACGGAAAAATCAATCATCGAGAATCGTAGCGGCGGAAGCAGGATTATTCCTAAAACGACCTTCGCTACTCATTCACATTATTACTTTCCGATCGAATATGTTAGAAATTAATTAAGGGGGGATAATTCTAGATTTTTAAAAATGCTTTGTAGTTCAAGGATTCTATTTGGAAGGTTTAGAAAGAGGCAAAAGGGATGATTTTTAAAATAATTTCGTTCAATTACGTCGAACCTCTTTTTCCTAATCTCGTTCCGTTCGTTCTACGATCCACCTCAACCCCTAAATCTTTTCGTAAAACGGGTAACGTTAACTACCGGCCAAAAGTATGGAACCAGGTCTGACAATTAAAAAACGAGAAATATAAACTCATTGGAAATGATTTGTATGTGTACTGATTCCGTAACTTGCATTATATGGTAACAAAATAATGAGTTGCTGTTCCGTCAATCGTGAACTCTGGTCCCATACTGTTGGCCAGTGGTGTAGTTTCCAACGAATCACAGGGACGTAATTGTAAAGGATTAACTTAAAAGAGAAAAGATATTAGAAAGTCAGAAGATAAGCGAATACGGAGCGCGCCAGCTAGGAGTTTCTTTTCACGGATGCTCAGGCCGAGTTTATCGGCCGAACTAGAAATAGATTTTGCAGAGTTCGCATCGGAGAGAGAGACACGGGCCTCGACAGCCTCGCAGGGCTTGGGCCCTTTGCCAAGGATGTCACTTAGCCGCGAGAACTACTTTGCTATCCGTGCCGTTCCAGAATACTGACCGCCTGAGCTCTTATCTTTCCGAGTCGCTAAACTGGCCGCGACCCTTAATCTCTCGGACGGTCCAGTTCACAGAGGGGGAAGGGGGGAGGGGGGGGCAGAGATTTCAATGGAAATTTTTACGTCCCAGAACGAACAACATTCTTTCATCTTTGAATAAAAAAAATGGAAGAAAATCAGGCTACCGAAAATCCATGAAAATTGTTACTTTCTTCTGGCTCTTCGGCAAATCGATACTTTAATTTTTCGTGGAAGCGGCCAGAGGAAAATGTTAGTACATTTTCCACGAAC